ACGGCCGGCCAAAATCACTGATTGTGTGAACGTGAAAATGAATTGAATATCACCTCCCATCTTCAGAGCAATCTGACTATTATAAAATTAGCGTTAAGAAAGCTTACTAAAATATCTGCCACAACATAAGTAAAAGGATCAAAGTAACATTAAGTACAGTCCGCAGCACTGTGAGTGCAGACGTCGATGTGTCCCATTATCACTCATATCACATCATAATGTATCATATATTTCCTTATCTGAGTCAGCTGCNAGAGCAATCTGACTATTATAACTATTATACTATTATTATACTATTATGTTAAGAAAGCTTAATTAAATATCTGCCACAACATAAGTAACCGGATCAAAGACTTTGATCCGGTTACTTATGTTGTGGCAGATATTTAATTAAGCTTTCTTAACATAATAGTATAATAATAGTATAATAGTTATAATAGTCAGATTGCTCTGAAGATGGGAGGTGATATTCAATTCATTTTCACGTTCACACAATCAGTGATTTTGGCCGGCCGTCTTTCCTGCAACGGCAGTTCAAACTGTATTTCCTCCGCACACTGAGCTCTGATTGGTCAGCAGTCGGTGCTTTCACTGAGTTGATCTCTTATCCTGGAACCTATCCTGCTCCGGAGCAGGCTAGCCGCTCAGCATGTTATCTAGCCCGCTAAAAAGTGAACCAGCTTCGTAGGACCGGAAATCCCTGAAGTTAGCTTGCTAAATGAAAATCCTGATTCGTAGTATAGGCCCCAGGTTAGCCGTTCAGCATAAGTTACCATGGAGATCTAGCCCGCTAAAAAGAGAACCAGCGTCGTAGGACCGGAAACCCTGAGTTTTCCCTGAAGTTAGCCCGCTAAGCAAAAATCCTGCTTCGTAGTACAGGCCTCTGGTGTCTAGCTAATGAAAACTGCAAATAAACACGTAAACAGGATGGTGTAAATATAACATCTTTGAACACAGTTTTGCTCAGTGAATGTGAGGTTTTCTTTAACTTTTGCTATTGAATCAGTGGAGTGATTTATTTATCAGGAACACAGGAAGTCACTTGAGAAAAAGCAAATTTGAACATAAAGCCATTGTTGTACTTCTGGTAAGGAACGTTTTATATTCTAGAGTAAGGCTTGAAGAGAAAGGAAGCAATCTAATAAACAGAAGAGGTTATGTTCTAAAACCACAGAACATGCAACATGTACTGTTTAGGCTCAAAGGTTACAAGGGTCAATGTGTAGTGAAGCCCCATGGGCCTTTGGTTTGTTGCGTTTGCAAGCAAAGTGTTTACATCCCACTTACACGGACTGTCAACGTTTCACCCTTCCTGCAGTAGCATACACAATACCTTATGCTTGTAATTTCATCAAGATATTACATGAAATTTGAGCTAAAGAAAGCATCTGTGTTCATATTTGTTCCTAGAACTCAGTTTGTGTGTGAAATCATACCAAAAAAAACAGCAGGAAAAATGCCACTTAAGATCGTTTGAATGAAAACGTATTCTTTCAAATTCCAACACATCGTCATCTTTAGCGGAAGATGACAAATCCTAATTTCCAGCTTGGTTCTTTCTGAATAACATAAACTAATTTAATCTACCATCATCTAGAACTCGAACATGTGAACACTGTTGTTGTAAGAAAAACAAAAGGATTATTGTTAAGACCGCAAAGGCTGAGTATGGCACCTCTACTTACTAACTTTATTTGGTTCATATTAAGATAGCAGTCGGAAGGAGAGACAAGAAGAAGAGAGAGGCTTGGCTGAATACTTTGATCTGACTGTCCGCCAGTTTCTTTTACAAATAAAACCGATTTTCTATTCCTAAAGAAGCCATTTCTGACGAACAAAACCTTAAAACAGGTATTAATGCTCTTATTTTAATACGGCCATATTATTAAAACTCCCTCCGCTTTCTTTTTTTATTTTGTTTGTATTATTACCACTGTACATTATAGTAGTTTTTGAAATGAGTAATGGAACTGTTGAAACGTGTGTCACTTTGTAGGTTATATGCAACAGAGATGAACATATTGCTTAATATAAATATATACCATTATATGAGTACTGATATGATTTATTGGACCATGTTTTATTAAATAGAAAGCCAGGATCTAAGGAAATGTAATATATTCAGAGATACCAAGCAATTTTTCACTGCAGTTTGTCCTAAAAATTCTGACCGAGAAATACATATTTTACAACACTATAGTTGAATTGTAATGTGACCTTGTCTATTGTTGGTCAGAGGTAATGAATGAGTTTGCCAAGAGAGTCTTGGAAAGCAATATGAGGAATAAATGACTTTTATATTTCTTTGCGAACTGTTGAGTGAAACTGACGAACTGTATGAGACCTGCATTTCATATCTGCCAATGATGATGCTGCTGATGATAGTTATAATAGACCACCGTACATAGAAAAACTCAGTTTGCCTCACTCAGAGAAGGTCAAACAAGCTCTAACTGTTCATTTTTACTCCTTCTCAAACTGTCTCCGAAGATGGATCATTTATATGGATTCTTTTGTAATAATGTTATTTGAAAGTAATTTCAAAGCCTCATATCTCATCCGTTATTGATGACTATGTCAAATGACCTACAGGTACAGGAACATGCACGTGGCAGTCGACTTCCCCAATTCTACCTCATTAATTCACATTCTCTGACTTCCTAAACATCATAAATCACTGCATGACTAGCAGCCCGACCCCTCTCACCTTTTCTCACCCTCCTACTTTCTCTCAACCTTATCTTGGCTCCATCTCTCCCTCTATGTCATCTATTCCCTTTTCAATCACTCTCTCATTTTCTCTCTCTTCCCCCACTTCTTTGGGAGGTCCAGAAAGTTTGTAGTACGCAGTCTAAATAGTGCTCTGATGGATTAGCTGTCTTCCACAGGCCTGAAGATTAGACCAAGGGCAAACCCACTCCTGTTTCCTGGGTGCCAAGCTGAAGATGAATAACTGTTTATTAACCCAATGCAGAGTGACTCCTTCACCACCTCATTATGGAGTCGGAAAAAAAGAAATACAGGCTGCTCAAGTTGGCCATCGTTAGGCGTCTCTCTCTCTCTCTTCCTGTCTATGTCACTCTGCTTGTCCCTCTCTCCATTCCCACTCTTGCTTTCTCCAGCAGATAAACCAGCAGTCTTATGTAATGTGACAGCGTGCGTTTGGTTCTTGTTTGCTCCCTGACAACCCGGGAAATTGGCTTTTCATCTTACAAAAAACCCTGCACTCCGTATATTAGAGAACATTCATCTTATTATGAGGGGCCGGAGGTAATTGGAAGTTTATGCATCCATTTTATTGCTATTTCTACTAAGACTTTTACTTCATTTTTCTTAGCTGCAGATGGGACACATTCTGTCCCAGACACACTAAACACAGGTACGATTTTCAAGCAAATGCAAAATGCACTATTCTTGTTGTAAATGCATTTCATGGAGGATTGTGCAAACAATCTCAGGGAAAAAAGTATGTGAACAGAGGGCTTTTTTATGTTTTGTATTTGATGTATGAAGGTCAGTTTTGCTTGTGAATTTCTGTCTTAAAAATCTGAGCATAACAAATGGGATGGTTTTTACACAAGGAACAAGTTATCAGTCAATCAGGGTCATATATTATAGGTGTTAAGCCCTCATTTTAACAAATAATTGTTTCGGTAGGTCGTTATCAAATATTGATATGGCGCATACAAAATTCTTCAGAGAATAGAGATGTATGCACGGAGGCTAAAAACACTTGAACCAATACCCCTTTGCCCTCTTTGGAAATAAATAACTATCACATATTACCTTATTAATGTAAATATCAATAATACAACCATAGCTGTTACAGCTGCTGTCCCCATTTTTCTGAAGTAATTTTACTAAATCATCTGACTACATGTGAGAGGTGGAACATTATCGTCGATATGAAAGAAAACACAAGTTCATACCTTTACATCACATTTGTGTGTTTAGTGTGTAATGTGGTTAATCTACCTTCATGACGTGTTCCTTTTTTAATTTGTTCTGTCCATAACCCAACGCAAATTTGTCACAGGTGTGCCAACACCAGGAGTAGACAGAGAGACGAGTTGGGCACACACAAAAAAAAAAAACCTAACCCTAAACATTTCTGTTTGTCCCTGCTTCATGCAGTTGGTTTTTCATAGCGAGAGTCAATTAAGGAATACACAGTTGCCAGTTTATTAGTTACAGCAAACATTATATGTTGTGTGCACATCCTGAATATGAAGGTTGTTATGTTCAGTATTTGTTGATACTGTTGAAGAAAGTTGTTTCTTGAACTTCAGTCTATATGATGTAATTCAATTTGACACACCACAAACTACAGCCTGTGAAATGACTGCATTTATTTTAGCTAGGTAAATTAAACTGGAAAATGAGAGACTAAATCAGTGTTGTTTTTCTAATCAGTTTTAAATGTGATTTGCCTCAAAGTTGCATCTCTTTCATAACATTTGCCATTGTTTAATTGTATTGAAATTAGGTATTTCTACATATCAAGACAAACTACATTTATACAGCAAAGAGAACATCACTGTCCTCTATAAGTTAGCCTAATTTAAAAAAGCTAATTAAAATACAGGCCATTAAAATCAAACTCATGCATTCATTAATATCAATGCAAACTGATTAATTTTTAAGAGCAAACAAATGGGACATTGTGTTTGTGCTCAACAAACTTGATTTTATATTGTATGTTTAATTAACTATGAAGACTCCACTGGTAGAAACACTTCTTTCTTTAGATTCCCATGAATATTCTATTGAGTTTTATCCACACCATCTTCTTCTTCAACCTGCATATCTTGGCAAAGCACTATGTTCTTAGTAAATCTGTGGCGGGGTCTAGAACGTGTTCTCACATGGCGAGGAAATTGGTTAAAGAAATATGAATATGAGTTGCCAAAACACTGGAAGACAACCTGTTCTTAACATATTAATATATATTTTTTATAATACACATGTTATGAGCAAATAATGAAACAAAGGATGCCAAATAGATAAACCACTTTGTTTTTACTTAAGCAAGCTGAGCACAGAAGAACTGCTGAAAATGACATACAAGGTTTAATGACTTTCAGTGAGAAGTTAGTGAAGTAAATGTAGAATCATAATGTAGAATTCAGTTCTCAAGAGCAACATCACTGCCCTGCAGAAACCTTGTAACTCCAGTCTCCTTGGTAACTGGCAGTTCGGATTGGACCCACATTAAAATAAAAAACTTAATTGACCTGAGACTAAACCAAAGAATTGAAAACCTTTTAAAACCATAATGAAATCCACCAGGTTCAATCAGTTACTGAGAGTTTGTCTAATTGGAGATAGAAGGATTTTGCAGAACAATTACAGTTTGACATTACCGGTGTGCACTGTGAATAGTGACTCAAAGCTTCACAACACCAAATCAAAACAAGTAACTGCAGAAAGTGTGACTGGCATTTACATGGAAAAGATACATTACCACCTATTCTGGAGAATGTGTCTGTTGTTCTGTCTTGGTAGAAATATTGAAATATAAAAAGCAATACACCCTTCGCTGGGAAATCAAACACAAAAACGAAATGTGCTTCTTATCTTAACATTGACTCTCCATATAAGGCATGAGTTTGTTTTGTTATAAACATTTTTTTGGTCTTTGCACTCAGTTATCTAAAAAGCAATGTGCACTTGTCCACACCTTGGGTTAGATGGAGCGTTATTTACAGCGCTATATCCTCAGAGCTCTTTGTTAGCACATCAGAAGACTTTTTCATGAATTTCAGCTAAAAAAAAAAGAACTCAACATTTAAGATATTTGCCATTCAGTTTGCCAATGTGTTCACCTTCTTTTGGTATAGACACACCACCAAGGACAGAACATCACTAACAGGCTTCTCACTCGGATGTTAAGCATAGATACTGTACTTACAAGTTTTCAAATGCCAGATAAAATGGAGGCAGGGATTACAAAGAAATAGTCAAAGACATTAACAGGGTTCAGGATTATCAAATTTGAAACTGTTAAGCATAACATAACAACTCATTTACCACATATATAATATTATCCAATTTTCCCTTCCCATGAGATTGTTCTAAAGCCAAATAAAATAGGGTTAGAAAAGGGGATATCTCCTCTTCCATTTACTCATTTTTGAAGACCCCCAAAGAGTTCCTCTTTACATATCAAAACCACCTTTATCTTTGCAAGGCAGATGTCTTAGGTATGCTTAATGACATCGGCTCTCTGAGGTTCCGAATCAAACAACCTGTCGGTGTAAGACAGTCTCTTTACTTCATCCAGTTGTACAGTTAGCCAAAAGCATGGCAGTAATAGCAAAGGTAAGCCTCCAGGCTCCTACTTCAGAGCTCCTAAAAGAGAGTCCAGATGTCAGCTGTTTTTCCAAAAGCTCACAACATGACTACTGTTCATCAAAGTGCTCTGATGGCAATTCTGATAAAAAATATGACAGAACATAACATCAGCCAAGAGAAACCAAAGAAAAGCCCAGCAGTCAGCTTTTGCAGTTGGATGTACTGTTAATCCAGAGGATTGGGGTCCAAGAGGCTAATTTAGAAGGACCACCCTTGCTCAGTCAAGCAGCAACTCCACTTGGTATGGGTAGCATCACTCCTGAACCTGACTTGTGCTAAGCTAGCTAGCTGCAGAGTTGGGCCAGTTCAGGTTCAGGTGAAGCATTGGGGAGCTTGGAGTTGAACATCTGCAGAGAGTCCTTGATGCGAGCCACCTCGCCAACTGACAGCTTCAGCCGATGGCGCAACAGACAAGAAAACAGGTCCAGTGGCTGCGGTGCTGGTGGAGAAAGCCGGTTAATCCGGTTTCTCATCTCCAACAACATCTGAAAGGCAGCGTCTTGCGTACCCTGCGTGTAGGGGTAGTCCAGCTGGAGAATCAGATCCTTGATGCCTTCAGGGTCAAAGTGCATGCTGTATCCAAACACTTTCAGCGTGTTGATCTTCATGTACCCCATGTTGGACGTCTGGTCATCCAGGTCCAACGGCTCATAGAAGAGAGTTTCATTCACTGTTGGATCATCTGTGAGTATGCGGCTTCGCAGGTAGATGTGCACTGTTTCAAAGAAGGATTTCCATTTGTTGCCAAGAGACAGCGTCCAGTTGTAACACTGTGCCGTGGCGACGGCATCCAATCGAGTTCTCTCCCAGTCAGGGAAGTCAGGCTGGTTGACTGGCATGAACCAGCTCTCTGAGTGACTTCCCCCATAAGGATTGACATAAATTGCAGGCACGGGCTCCAGTGTTGAATTCTTAGTCAAACATATCTGGAATGAAATGCCCATCAGCATGTGTATAAGATTTGACTTATTTTTGTTACTCTTTAGTGTCAGCAACATTCTCTTCCTCCAGGCAGGATTGAACCAACTTCCCAGGCGAACGTCGTTGCTGATGTAAATGGCGTGGACTTCAATTTTGCTGTCCAGTCGCTGAAGGAGGTGCTTCGCCTGAGAGAGAATAACAAACTGTGAGAACACAATCACTTCCACAAGGTGACAGATAATAATACCCCAATGTCTCTGATGTTCAGCCCATCACCTTATTACAGAGTTGATTACACAAATCTATAGGATTTCGATCAATACCAGATATTAGATTATAGTTGTATGTTATTATAAAATAAGCAAAGGTCAAAGATTCCTATTTTCTAAATCCAAGACACAGTGAAATAGATTCTCAGTCAGATTTGTATTTGAAACTGCTCAACTAATTTTCCCACAGACACTTAAGACACCCATTGCTTTGATTATAGGCTTGCATGTTTCTTAGTTTAAGACAGGCAGAACTAATGAGAGAGATAATTATATAGGGACAAGCTACAGTGCAAATTATGCTGCCATATTTCATTTTGATTCTGTCAGAGATTGTTGGATTTTTCAGGACTGAAGCATCCATTTGAAACTATACCAACATTTAATTTCCATTTTCTGCTGTATCCTCATGTGCTGTCATAATTATTATCATTGTAGGTATGAGTCTTCAGAAAAAAATCATTTATGTTGTGCTTTTAAGTGTAACGAGAGGTACAATATGACTTTAAGAAACAATGGAATATAAAAATGAGAAGCTTTGAGAACCTCAGCATCAGGCATGTCCAGGTCAAAGTTCAGATAGTGGTCCAGGGATGCTGAGATGCTCGGCCGGCAAGAACCAAGATGGAGGAGGTTTCCGTGGTGACAGGATCCGCAACGTGTTGTGTTGTCAGTGGCACAGGAGGAGCAGGAGGTGGAGGAGGTGCCCACAACGCAGGGGACGACTCCCTGGCAGGTGGGCTTCTCCCCAGGGCAGATGCAGCTCTTCACCTCCTCAAAGAACGAGCCCAGAATGCCGTGCTCATTGCAGTAGAGCAGGGACTGAGCCCGGTTCAACCAAAACCCAACAGGCCTGCAGAGGGAGAGAAAAAGCACAATGACGCATTGTGTATACAGACGCACAATCCAACGATAAGTACCTAACTGTTCGTTTCACTCTGACGATAGCCAGTCTCTGTGTGGTGTTGTGCATTATGTGCAATATGTGAATATAGAAATATATGCCGTTAATAACTGTGCAATATGTACATGGCTGCTACATCTTCAGAACTGTTACAGGATCTGTATTTTGTCAATTATTAATTATTTTACCTTTAATGTTTTTTATTATGTATGCTTCTTAATTAACATGAAACTGTCTTTGGCTCTTTTCTGCTGTAACAAATGTAAATGTCCCCTCTGTGGGACGAATACAGGTATTCTGATTCTGATGAGGTTTTCATAATCTTTTTCGGTTGAATAAAAGAAGTGTGAAGTTTAGGATGACCTTTTACTCATTATTTGTATTTGTTTGACTACAAATGTAACTTAATTTAGTTTGTTGCGGAGTTCTATGGGGTTTGGATAGTTTTGGTAGTAGAGAAGACAAATAAGAGCAAGGACAAAAAAAACAGAGTTTGTTATTTGTGTGACTCGTGCAGGTGTAGGAGTATCTCTACATTTGCTGCATTTCTTTTAAATTATCTCCCACATTTGGTTTACGTTGGCTTGGCTATTGCATATCTCGAGCGGTCTATGTCTGCATCCAGTGTGTCAGGCAAACCACTAGTCAGAGGTTTGTAGGCGGGAATGAGAATGGAGATATAAATGCTGATAAGGGCTACCATGGGACCCAGGGGCCAAATTAAGCAGGTCCTAATATCTATATACTTTCACCACATATAAACCAACATGTGCCAAATGGGGTGCTTTAATTGCAAATGCCCCACTATAACTGTGTAATTGTTTCTATTGTGATTGACAGCTGCCCCTGTGCCTTCTCTTTAACATTCCATGTGCTTCCTCTATTCTCATACCTTCACCTTTTAAAATGTTCTCAGGAAGTATAGACTTAGTTAAAAAGTACATTTAACATTTTTACAAAAGATCTTGAATAAGATCCTTAAGTGAGGATTTCCCCTTTAACAGACCGTGCACTGTTTACCCCACATCTAGCTTATTTGTAGGTGAAAAGTTAAATCACATTTTGTTCCATGTTCTTTAAAAATTGGATGGTGGCAATTTGACACTTTTGTATAGAGTGGGTGTTCAGTATGACTGCAGCAGAGATGAAATGCAGACATACATAAATTACCATCCACTTTGGTGCGGTAAGAGCAGAAACAAGTTCAGACTGAAAATTGGCTCAGCAGAGATTCTATCCCCGGGCTAAGTTCAGGAAATCACACACAACATTGCCCAAATGCTCCAGCTATTCCTCTACCTCAGGCCTATGTAAATAGACATAAATGAATGATGATAAAACAAATGGATTTGTGCAGAAGAAAATAGGGGAGTTTTTGCAGCTGAGCGGCCCCTCCTGATAAATTGTAGTTGCTGGTATAGGTACTAAGTTGAGACTCTGAGTGACAGGTGTGAGGCAGAGAGACAGAGCGAGGCAACACAGAGGTGACTGCTGACAGAAAGTAAGGCAGAGGGCGAGGATAGGGGAATGGTGTGATGGGTAGCAGGAAAGCACTGTCAGGTAAACTAAAGTCCTCTGTAAACAAGTGCTGAGCTGTCCGTCTGGGAGAGGACTTGATTAAACCGTTCCACAATACTACAGACCTTAACATATAAATGCCTTCCCCTACGGTAACTATACCTTTCCTCGCTGTCACACAAGTCTCAATCCCACCATCACGTCTTTCTTGCATTTCCAGCATCCTTTTGCTTTATTTCCTTCCTCTATCTCTTTATTTCACTCTGGCTGTTCACATCTATCTTACCCAGCCTCCCTTACCTCTCTTAACACCGGCTTTTCACAAGCTTGTCTTTATTTTTCCCTTCAGTACGGCAACAAAACAGCCATGTAATGACAGCCGGGTGAAGTTTATATGGGTATTTTGCTCAGAAGTCAAGCATGGCTATAGAGTTTGCACAGGAAAGGGTGTCAGTCTTCCTGTCAAATGACTATGAGATGGTTTCAACAACAGTGGTTCTTTGTTCTCTGTCTGTTCAACTGAAGAGGTAGTGAGGTTGTTTTCCAAACACCTGCACAGTGCAGTAAAACACCTTGCCCAGTGTTCTTTGGAATTATTGTATGATAATGTTCTTGACAACATACATCCTATGGCAACATTCAGAGCCAATGTAGGAAGTAGAATGCAAGGTTTGTCCACGCTTCCTTCACTGGTACATATAATCGTGTTCTGTTTTAAAGCCCCTTCAAAAGACAAACATAATCTGTCTGTAACCTTCTAAAACTATTACAAAATTCAGATAAAAAAATATAACTTTGACCGTGTTTTAGTAAAGGTTTGTTCAGGTAAATGCACTAAAACAAATTGGTTAGGTTGAGAAAACATCATGGTTTTGGGTAAAATGGCACACACTAAGGTTTGGGAACTTAACTGCATTTCTGAATCTAATTTGAGCTGGACATGATATAGATTTTTAAAGCATTCTAGTTTCCGTTTGTTGATAATGTTGAACCAACCCCTTTTCAACATGGCTCATAGAATATTGTCTGATGCGGATTTCTCAATTTTTAGGTAAACATTAGCTTGTAAACTGGCGTAATCCACAGTGCTCAGAATTGGTGCAAAAATAAAGTTGTTCAGTATGCATAGTCATAATTGAAATATGTATTTGTATTAGGTCACACCCCTCAGAGAAGGACCAAGACTATCTCTTGGGCTACATTTACACTTAATGCTAGAGTCATTAATATCTATAGAGTATAAAAGGTTTATAATTTATTTATCATTAAGTTGTTTCTGGGCCTTACCATTTGGGAGTTTTGTGGGTTGTTAGCAGAGGTGGGGACTCGAGTCACATGACTTGACTTGAGTCTGACTCGAGTCGCATATTTTTTTACTTGAGACTTGCTTGACTAACATTGATAAAAGACTTGACTTGACTTGGTATTCATGACTTGAGACTTGACTTAAGCTTGAGATAGATGACTTGAAAGGACTTGACTGTTTAAAATTAAATATTTGCGTTTTTTTTTGTAGTGAGATATTACGTTTAGTTTTTTCGAAAAACGTGATTGGGTGATTATAGTGCCATGCGCGCAAACCTGGCAACCCACTTGAAGGCAGGAGTCTCAGTTAACATGGCAGCGGCTCGCGTTACTCCAAAAATAGGGAAGTTTGCATTCAAGGATTATGTTGTTGATGACGGTAATAAGAAGAAAACAGCGGTATGCAGGGTCTGCAGCATAAAGATCAGTGACACAACATTCAACTTCATTCGTCACTAAAAAAAAACCCACAGAGAAAGGTACGTGCATGTGTTGTGTTAGCTAGAAAGCTAACGTTAAGTTTAAGCTACGTTAGACTTGGTTTCAAATCGATTAAGCAAAGAGAAGACAAAACGGTAAATGAACACTAGAACCGCCAAGGGATTCATTTTTGACTAACCCTGATACTGACGGCTGTCAGGAGAGAGACAGAGGAAAAGAGATGCCTCGTTTATTTTCCCTGTGTTATTATCAGAAGTTACTGGAAACTTTTGAATAATGTAGTTCATCTACTTTTAGTAGTTTGTTTAAATGTTTTAATTATGTTGTTTTTGTTTGTAGAAGTGCATCATTCCTTGATTTATTGTAAAATGAATCTGAAATTTTTGATCTGTTATGATGATAAACTGAAGCCATTTCTAAATTAACCCAATTAAGTGAGTTTTAAATCGTCCTGCTTAGTTTATAAGGAAATTATGAAGAGGAACAAATTAAATGGTTTGAAAATGATATCTATGTAGGTGCTGACGCTGTTGGCGGTTCTAGTGTTAACATACATTTTAATTAAATATGTGTAATGGCAAATGCCATATTTTCTTACCTGGAATTCTGCCTTTTTGAACAGACTTTTTGAGTCCTAGCTATATTGTCTACAGTTCTGGGGTTAATATGAATCTAATATGATTGTCATCGTCTAAATTAGATTTCAAATGATTAACTGTGTATGTAATGAAGATCATAGTGTGAGTTGAATCCATTTTCATAACCACTGTCTTTTAACTGATGCGGAAATGCGGAAACTTGGCTTATCCATCAGAATTTCGTATGACTTGACTTGCTTGACCTGAGCAATGTCTTGACTTGACTTGCTTGACTCTCACCACAGTGACTTGGGACTTGCTTGATACTTGTAGGTCAAGACTTGAGACTTGCTCATGACTTGCACATGTAGGACTTACTCCCACCTCTGGTTGTTAGTAACATATGATCCATTCAGGTTGATGCATTCAGGCTACAGCTATTTACATTATGTTGGTACTACTCTGTCACAATGCCCAACAGTTTTACACAGATGGACATATTTACTATCGTACAATCAGTTGGCAGCAGAGACAGCCCTTATCTGAAATCCCAATGCCAGCATTCTACAAATAGATGTTTTGGATGGGAATTAGCTTAAAATAACCGATTGTTTGCCCCACTGGCATGTTTCCAAACTTCCTGTGTGCAGAACCTTTTGTTTGTTGCTACATTAAGCACTTTCCAGACAGACTGCTCTTGATTTTCACAGTGTGCTCCACTTGAGGTGGGCTGCTAGAGAGCCTACAGCTGTTATGAATCATCGCAAAGCAGGCAATTATCAAAAATGCTTCATTTGATTAGTTTTCTCTCATTGCATGCCCGTGGGTTACCTTTCTCTGGGCAGACTGATGCGAGGATGTTTTGGGCAGCGTTTGCTCAGGGTGAACAGTTTCCTGACAATCTTCTGGGCTTTACTCAGAACCAGGGCAGAGCCGGACTCCAGCTGGGCGTAGCGCTTCTGCAGAGACAAGTCAGCCGCCCAGGACTTGGCAATCATGGACACATTCAAAAACCGGTCAGTGGGCAAGCGCTTCAGGAGGGCTTTGAATTCATCTGCAGGCGGGGACAGGCATCGGAGAAAGGGAAAGGAGCAAAAAGAGAAACAAGTCAAATAAAACAATCTGGTCATTCATATGTTAACAATAGCCTACCCCTTTTGAAAACTGAAAACCTATTCATCACAGTCTACTTTATCCCTAGTGGCATGCAGAGACAATAGTTGAGAAGCAGGGGGAGTTTCATGTATCATTACAACACAACAAAAAGCTGTTATGTTCTAATGAATTACCAATACGAAGTAAACACCTGTGCTTCAATCTGCGGTTAAAAACATTCACCTCAACATTAGAGGCTCAAAGTACCCACAGTGGCATTATTTGCATCCTTGTCATTTAGAAGCGGTACTTATTGAGACAATTGACAGTGTGGTGTCACGTACAGATGGGCATTATGATTTAAGTCGTATTTCTTTCTTGAAAAGCCCAAACAAGTAAAGAGAAAATCCAAGCTGAATAGACCCATAAGAGCATGTGGTTAAATAGAGAGAGGTTCTATGTCTGTGGTGCAAATGCCCCAAAAACTGTTATGGATGCAATTCAAAGCTAATTCTGCTGCTGTCCCAGCAAATTTGTGTCAAAACCAAACAAGACAAAAAGCACGGTTTAATGCAAATCAATTATTTCAGTTGCCATTCCCCACAAATCTAAATTCACTAACGGAATTCCCATTCTGCCATTTCCGACAACACGTCAGTCAAAACCATTGAAGCATCAGAATCAATTTGGTTGTAATGGCAATAACATGAACATACAATGTAATACATTTAGTAGAATGTGAAAGTCAAAGAAACCCAGAGCTTTAAAAAAGACAGGTCTCAACAGGTTAAAAACAATAATCGACCTATTATTTTTGGTGGAATATGTTACACGTTATAAATGTCTGTATTTATGAAATCCCCTGCCCTGAGTTTGCATATAACTTTTGTTATAAATGTATGAATGTTATTCTGAGAAAATATATGTATTATTTGTATTCTATTATATCACGTTTTATCACCACTGAAAAGCGTCTTTGAGCACCTGAAAAAGCACTTGGAAATGAAATGTATTATTATTATTATATTGTATACCATTGTTTTCTAAGATAAAAAAAATGTAGTATTTGACAAAAAAACACAAGACAAATAAGACTATCCCTTGTGTGGTGTTCGGGTCAAATTGACCCGATTTCCATTTTTAATGAATACAAAAAATATACGGATATTTTCGTTCAACCTGAAACTCAATGGCCGGGGCTTATTTATTGTGAAGGACATGTGGATTTATTTTTTTCCACTTATGAAAAAATTCACCCGCATTTATATCCTTCATAAGAGGTTCGGGTCAATCCGACCCGGATACAATACCAGGACAAACAGACAGAGAAAAACACACAGAAACACACAGACTAAAGACACAAAACACACAGACTAAAGACACAAACTAAAGACACACACACACACACACACACACACACACACACACACACACACACACACACACACACACACACACACACACACACACACACACACACACACACACACACACACACACACACACACACACACACACACACACACACACACACACACACACACACACACACACACACACACACACACACACACACACACACACACACACACACACACACACACACACACACACACACACACACACACACACACACACACACACACACACACACACACACACACACACACACACACACACACACACACACACACACACACACACACACATATTATTATGTCCTTCAGGGCTTTGATTATTATATGACAGATTAAAAATGATAAACATTAATGAAACAATTTGCATTTGCATTTGTCCTAGAAAAGCATGAGCAAAATGTAAACCTAGTTTTTATTACAGTGTATTTATTTTTAACATAAATTACATTTTTATCAGAATAAACGATGGACACTTCCATTGTTAAATTTGATCTAGCAAAGAGTATTTTCAAAAACTAATCACATATTTCATTTATATTGTTGGAGAATGAGTTAAAGACAATATATTTAAGGAATTGTGCATGTTGAATTTAGTTCTGTATTTTTTTAAACCCTGAAATATGTCCTGGGTCAATTTGACCCGAACATTACCAAAGGGTGCGAAATGTAAACATAACACAAGGGCTATTGTTATTTTTTGCAATTCGATTACAGTGTTCAAGGTGCTTTTATATTGCATATCTAAGATTAAGCTTTTAGCACAAGTGAGTTTTACATGAAATAGCCCAGAGCTGTAATTTAGGAAAATGTGGCCGGCTTCACTGACCCTCATGCTGCTCTGAAAATGTTCTGCTCTAAAACTTTATAAACAGCCAAGTTTCCCCCTGATGGGTACCTTAGTCTGACAGGATCTACTTTATTGTGAGCAATCAAATCCAATGGTTCCTATTTCACTAGTCAGTGTGTAGGAACTCCAGCATAAAAGGATTGGGAACCATTTGAGTAAATTACACTGAGAATTACACCGGCGCAGAAGACACAGCTTGTACCCTGTGCTGAGTTTGCCAAGAGCGTTCCGGTGTTACGATCATTGGAGTTCTATTATGAACAACTGGTAAATATTATGCCAGTATGAAGCCTCTGGGAAACTTGAACCTATTATTTCCTTTTCTCCCAAAGCCAGCTAAGTGAGACCTTCTAGGCTTGTTCTGGGTCTGCTGGAGAATCATATTCCCATGTGCTGTCGTTGGCAGGGAGACAACAAGGAAATCTGCAGCCAAGCCGACCTTGAGCTGAGCTCAACTGATGAGACTCAAGCATATTACAGTGCTCAGGGATCCCAGATGACACAATTCTTTCTCTCTCTATCCTTCCCTTTGTGTATGTCTGCCTCTTTCCTGTGGTGTGATCTTTCTCTTCTGGACTAGCGAGTCTGGGTTATCTCGTTGTCTCTCGAGTTGTCTGTTTCTACGTCTCTTACTCCATCATCTCTTCCGTAGCCCCTCTGTATGTACATGAGGATAAATAAGTGAGGTAATGTTAACTTCATCACTGTTTATTTGAGTGTTTGTTTAGTTTCACCTCTACTGATCTTTACAAAACATCAAAGGCTACACTGCGGTGAATGTGCTGTGTTCAATGTTTGTTGGCAATGCCATGGAAAAGTAGCTTGATACACTTTGGCTCAATCTGCTCAAAGTAATCAGCTGTTAAAAAGCACAGAATGTAGCGATTACTGTTCATTTATGTAAACAAAGACACACAACCTGCTATGATAGCTACTTTGTTCAAATATGGCTGCCAAGGTACCTATTCGGAGACCCTCGTATTAATATAATTAGCTCATTAGAATATCTCGTGTGATTTAGGTGTGGAGGGTCGTTCTTTTCTTCAGCACAGAGACATGCAGTGAGTCTTTACTGTGACCATTATCCGCTGAGATCAATGCCTCCATATGCCTCCATATGCCTCAAATCACTTTCCTTCCCTCTGTCCCGCATCCGTCTTCATCTCCCTCTCCCTCTATCAATAATTTACTCACAGACAGTGGCACATACACATTCATGTACATCCACTTACCACCTTCCCCCTATTTCTTATTCCTTTCTCGGTTTTCAAATCACTATTGCGCTCTCTATCTGCCTGTAACACTCCCTGAGCATTATTTCCTGCTTTCTCTCCTCATACACTCTCAGAAATAACCATTAGCACTGCCATTACGCTGGATACATTTGTCTGTCTGTTTTCTTCCCTTTCCTGACATTTATGACTGCGTGTGCCACATTTATTGACAATTTGGCTCACTCAAAATCTATCACATAAAGAGGCGGTTTTTCTCAGGGTTTTTTTTCATAATGGCTGACCGCACAACCCTGAAATCTCCATCTCCGGGCTGACTTAGAGATTCATGACATCATGAGGCAGAGGCGACAGCTAAGTGACTGACTGGCTGAGGCCTGTTCATTTAACACACTACAAGGACATGGGATATTAAAACGTCTGAGTAACATTAAGTGGGCTAATGTGTAGTAGAGAGGGGAGTCAAAAAAACTCAATAGATTTTGGTTCAAACCAAGCTGGAGATAACAATGTCGATCTATCTACTCATCTACTGCTTTTTTTTAAACTGCATTTATGTAATGCTGTTAACAGTCTTAGTTACCACTAAAAGCACATCACAACGTAAGCCAGCATTCACCCATTCAAACGCACATTCATGAACACATCTCAGAATAAAAGTCTTGTATTAGCAAATGAAGAGCCATCATATGTTTGTAGTTCAAGGTAAATGTTATATATTATTTTTGTATGGACTGTGTGTCCGTGCTAACATGCTTACATGGCGAAAAGAAAAGAAAGGTGAAGTGTAGACTGGGTGTTAGTTGGTAAAGCTTTAACAATGAAGGTGCCCTGACCTTAATTAAGTAGTCAGAGATGAGTTATGTTGTCATTTATAAGACTATAGCAGACCCCAAATTGCTCATGTGGGGATAGTCCACAGTATTGAGTATGTAAGTCGCTTTGGATAAAAGCGTCTAACAAATGACATGTAATGTAATAAACATGATTCATTATTCTTCCTCTATCTTCACATTTTGCATATTTTTTTTCTAACATCATCTCTTAAAGACATAATAGGCGCTTTCACACCGGAGTACTTTTCCCAGGAATAGTTCCGATAGTTCTTGGGATTTTGCGTTCACACCAAAACTATCTGGAACTACAACCTAGTCCATGCGAACCTTTTCACCCTTTTTCAGTCGCATTAGCATTATTAGCATTAGCATTAGCCAAGCGCACCAACGGAGAGAGACAAACTTATGGCAACAAAAAAGAAAACATGGGAGCGGTGGTTTGATGAGGAGGTGACAGCGCTTCTGGCGATTTACTCGGAAGCCCAACTCCGGGGACTTCCAGGCCGGGGACTTCGGGTGGCAGTATACGCCGTGAAGCAGAAGAAGAAGAAGTGACGTCAGCGGCTTCATTCGCGTAATCCTCCCTCAGGGACTTATTCCGGTGTGAACGCGATCTACTAGGACAG